ATATCTTGAAAGGAAACTACAAGACTATATAAGTGTATTATTTGGAATGATTTGTCAGTTAGAAGGTGGAAAGAGCAACGACAATAAACCGTCCAATGAACCAGAAAATAAGGTTATGCTCCAACTATTAGAGGAGCTTTTTACTCTTTCCTATGGGAAATGGGAAGTCATTTTGCAGACAATATCAGAGCAGGAAGTTGAAATTGATCAATCAGGATACTATCCTCTCAAGGAGAAAACACTTGGGCGTCCAAAGTTTTCAATTACCAAAGAACAATTACTGATTCTTCGCGAGACTGGTATGAAATGGGCTAAGGTTGCAGAGTGCCTAAACGTTAGTGAAAGGACATTATACAGGCGTGTTCGAGACTATGGTATTCATGGGACATTTTCCGACATTTCAAACACAGAATTGGATAAAGTACTAAGGGAGATATTATCCATAACTACATTTTCCGACATTTCAAACACAGAATTGGATAAAGTACTAAGGGAGATATTATCCATAACTCCACGTGCTGGAGAAAGCTACATTCGTGGAAGTTTGAGAAGCAAAGGAATACTTGTTCAGCGTTGGAGGGTAAGGGAGAGACTGCAAATCATAGATCCTATTGGAAGGCCAGCGAGGAAAAGTCTAGCAATACAAAGGAGAGTCTACAATGTCCCAGCACCAAATTGTTTGTGGCATATGGACTCCAACCATAAACTCATAGGATGGCSAATAGTAATTCATGGATGTATTGACGGCTATAGTYGAACAATCATCTACTTGAAATGTGCCACTAATAATTTGGCAAATACAGYTCTTCAATTTTTCCAATCTGGAACTGACATCTTTGGGATTCCCAGCAAAGTTAGAGGCGATTTGGGTGTAGAAAATTATGATGTAGCAAGGTTCATGATTCTGCATCGAGGTGCAAATAGAGGAAGTTTCATTACAGGGAGAAGTGTTCATAACACACGCATTGAATGATTGTGGAGGGAAGTCAATCGGGTTGTAAACTACAACTACTCTGCTATATTCAAGCACATGGAACATTACAATATATTGGACTCAGCTAATGAAATTGACTTGGCAGCTCTTCACTTTGTGTTCATTCCCCGTATATCGAGATCTTTGGAACAATTTACTTCACAATGGAACTATCATGGTATCAGAACAGCTGGACATAGCTCTCCAATTGCTCTTTGGAATGCTGGTATGCTGTCTTGCAGCCTCTCCAGTTTACAACATCCCCAAGATATCTATCACTATGGTGTTGACTATGAAATGTTAACACAAGATGACTCAGATAATCACATTGTTGTGCCAGAAAATTCATGCCAACTTACTAATGGTGATTTAGAGGTACTTCACTCAAGCATTGATCCATTAGCTGATGACGGTGATTCTGGCATTAATCATTTTTGCAATGTAAGGTCTATAATTCTTGACAAATTACGAGAATAACTTTATTAAATAATCACAACCTTATCAAGTGTTTGGTTGCAACTTAAGAGTAATCTTAACCAATATTTTTACATGTACCAACAACTTTGCAGAGTGTTTGCAATATACATCCTGTGAACTTGATGTTAGTCCAATAGTCTCTATRGCAAGTTTATAGTGTTTGTTGGTTTGTATTTTGTTTTACTTCGAGGTGGGGATTTCAAGCACTGGATATGGACTATTAGTTTCACAGGTTTATTGCAATCACTCGCATACATATTCCGTAGTAGAATTATGTTCATGAAGTAAAAAAGATACATATATTAAAATGTTCTGATCTAAATGTACACAAACTTTCAATGCATCAATAATGGTTTACATTGCAACAATTTAAAACGGTTCGTAGGCTGCTCTTTAAAACAGTAACAAACAATATGATACATCTGAATGAAAATATAACTCTTTTCTTTTTTTCTTCTTTCTTTTCTTTTAACACAGACATTGCTTTCATCAATGAAGTGAAGCGAGTCAAAATATAGTCCTAATATATTTATAGTTCCTAGAAACAAAGGAACAAAAAAACTATTTTTTTAAGGAAAAAGTCATTCATCCTTGCAACTCAGGCATTCTAGAATGATATGCCATTCATGCATTTACACTTTTCCAAAATACGCATTGACAAATGCATAGTCAAACATTTCAAACAGAACTTCTTCACTTGGAAGGTGGTACTCTAAAGTTGGCCTTCGTAGGTGCAAAGTGTTTGCACATGTATTTGCAAATGGAACAAAGTTCCAGGCTTTGTCTCCACTTGCCTCAGGAAACTCAATGGCTGGTGATGCACCAAACCCTAATAGTGGCTCTTCGTCTGCTCCTGTAACGAACTGAAGCACATGATTGAGAGTTACATTTCCCCTTCGACCACTTGCTGCTTCACGGCAATATTTATTAAATGCAGCATAAACACTGCTTTCATCTTTTCTGGCATTAGAACCTTCCTCTGAAAACTTTGGACTTAACACGTGTAGTAACTTTTTTCTAGTAAGCACAGCTGCTGGAGATGGACGAAAGAGTTGGAGAAATATTGGTATAACACTGCCAATCTGATAAAGACCCACCCTTGCAAACCCTTTCCGAAGGTTTTCAATGCATTTGGATGGTTTACTTGCATTGAATAGTTCCTGCAGGAGCTCTTCTGAAAGGAATCTTGGAATCGACCCATTTTGTAGAACACTAAGTGCCATTAGTAATCCTACATTTTCATAGTCTTTTGACAAGTGCTCCTTTAAGCCATTATCAAAATACTTGGTCTTGATTTCCTGCAAACATAGCCTAAAAAATTCCCGTCTCGGGCCACCTGAATCTTGTGCACTTTCACCATAGAAGGATACCTCAAGTGTCAGCCAAGGATTCTCAAGTTCTTGGACTTCTTCTAGAGCACTATCAAGAACATTGTACCTGAAAACAAATAAAATTGTAAGACACAAGCCTTGACCTTTGGATATCTGAGCCCCTGAATGAAAAATCATACCTGTCAATGTTAATWAAATTGGTTTCTCCTTCCAAACTTTCAGAAGCTCTTTGGATGTCAAGATCCCTTCCAACATTGAAGGAGGATTGAGCACATCTTAGTACTTCCACAGGATCAGTGATGCCTTTCTCGTAAATATACTGTATACATAATGTAATAACTGATTGGAACTCAGAATCTACAGTTGTAGGTGATTGGGTTGGGATTGCCGCTTCCACTACTGACGATGTGTTTGGCACCGGTGTCCCTGGTTTAGTAGCAGACAATGCAGAATTGCTGGTGGTAGGTAAGGAGGTCACTTCATGCACCACTGAGGATTCATTTGAATCAGCCTTTTCTGCTGTAACCTTACTTCCAGAAGGTTCATCACATTTTTCTGGGTCCACTGTTGATAACTCTGTTGATACAAACAAATATTATCCAGTCAATATTCTGAATCACATTAAATCAGAAGGYCATGCATTTTTACTACAGAATAAGGCTGTATACAGGCATGTGTTTAACAATAAAATCATATTGTGTCATGCAATTTTGTAATCATATATATTTATGATTTCAGACCATAAATCTTAACGAAATATGGCCACCAACGAGTTTTAGAAATAAAACCCAATTTCAAAAATAACCACTAACATACTTAATTAAGCCCTATGTGCCACCTGGGCACGAGGTCGGCACGAGGTGGACAGGTACATACTTAAAATATGAATATGAATTTAGGAAAGGTATGATAATGAAGTGGTGGTCRTAATTCGTTAAGGTCAATGTTGCACTCCATTCAGTTCAATAATTGTCATCATTTTTATTGCACATTGTGCCTGGCACATTACAGTAAGAAAATATAAAAAACATGAAAAATGCTTTAAGTTTCAATGCTTCCGTTGCTTTTATTAACCAAAATACCTTTAATCTCATTTTCTTGCTTTTCAAAAACTGAAGTTTTAAAAATTAAGTCATCATCTTCATCCTCACCATCATCATCTGTTAGCTCATATACCTGTAGACACAAAATTGAAATTCTAAATAAAAGGAATATAAATARAGTAACATTTCAATATTACAGTCAAAGCAGGTCATGTATACCCCGAATTTTACCTCAATAATACATTGTTACAAATGATATCCATACATAGACACATACACAGGAAGCCTGTCACCAAAAGCAACTGCTTTTTGCATATAGAATATCCTTTGATTGTTTAATCCAATCAATCAGTAATCGAATGTTTTGAATATTCGTTTATATAGTATCAAACAGAATGCATTCTTGAAGTAAATAATGGCTCAAATAATCATATATTTTTCGAATAAATAATGCCTTCTTAGGGGTTCTCTTGGCCTGGTATGACTGTAATTATTCTGCCTAAATCTATATTTACCTCAGTTTCAGTTTTTCTCTTCTTGGATAACTGGAGGCCTGGTATATCTAGGAAGGTCTTACTGGGTGTTATATAAATTGGCCTATCTTTAAATATTTTCTGCAGCAAGAATGCAGACAACTGTTGCCCAGGTGCTAGATTGGGAGGCAGCAGCTTTGAATGGACTGGCATTAATATCTCAATATCATCAAATTCACCAAGTTTTGATGGAAAAAGGCTCTTCAGGTAGTCGCAAAGTGGCAAGTAGTCTAAGTCCTTGCTGAAAGTCGCCCCAGACACAATATAGTTGTTTTCAGATAGAAAAATTCGAACGCCTTGGCGGGGAACTTTGTCTTCATTCGGACCAGCAAGCAAAATAACGTCCTTTACATAAGTGCCACTTGCTTTTTTTGTGCTGGTTTTTACTTGCTTTCGTTTTCGGCCTTTCATAAAATTATAGGCAAGCTGGAATTTAGGAACAGTAGAACTGCTTGTACCGCCGCCAGAGACAGTATTAGCGTTGCTTGTTGATGCAGTAGGCTGAGAATTTTGGCCTCTGAACGACCTCAAAATCTCTTGATGTACAGTGGCATCAGATACATTTGTCTCATTGCTCTTTTCATCCGCTTTCTCAAGCTCTTTACTCAGGGTATTTATATTTTCTAATATTTTTCGAATCGTTGGATTCATGTCAAAACTCCGTATGCCTCGTGTATGCCAATTCTAGAACGTACCACGTTTCAAAATGGCGCACATCAGCTTGCAAAGAACTATGGATGCTAGATCACAGGAAACTCGTAAAAAGTATTTTGGGTTCCCTGTGGATAGAGAAAACTCGTCGAGAAACAGAGAAATCTCGTCGAGAAACAGAGGAAATCTCGTCTTGAAACAGAGAAATATCGTCGAGTTCTCGTCGACTTTTTGTCAAGAAACTAAAACTAAARATATTTCTCGACATACTTGGTATGGAACTTGAAAGTACAATTAAGAAACTCAATCTATGGTGTGCATAATTCAATATCTAGTATGACCATTTGAACAAGGTGGTGAAAACTGAAAGGCTTTTGGCAGTAACGGCATTCCATACTTCGCATGTGGAAATCAATAAGTGTTGTCGTGTGAAACATTTGTATGATACACAACTTGGTGTCGTTTTTATTATAATTTGATTCATCTAAAAGTGACGTTCGTTATATTACCAGCTTTTTGTAACATAAAACTAAGTCATCATGCACTATCTAAATATTTACATTAGAAACTATAAGTTCATATAAAAGAAAGTAAAAACATTCCCCAGGTCATTTTCCTACTAACTTGAACAATTATTAGATTACCATGTTCAGAATGAATCACATTCAAAAGGTAATTACAAACAAATAATTCAGTAGCAAGTTAGTAGTACACCTTTCACTGCTGCAAGACTAACTTTGGTAGGTGCATAAACTACAGAATACCTAGAAAAGACATCCACAGTGCTGGAAATAACCCATGGACTTCTCTTGTGTGATTGTTCCACTACCTTCGTAAATTGCATATGCAGTTTCCTCGTCTGAAAGACGCTGATTTCTTCTCAAAAAGTCTTTGATCTGGCCAAAGCACAATTCACACGTATTAAACTCGGGAGAATACGGTGGCTGAAACAATAAGCGAACACCACAGGCATTCAACATCGCAGTCAATAGTGGCTCTACAAAGTGACCGTGATGAAAACCGCAGTTATCCATGATAACTGTATCTCCTCTCTCCAGGACGGCCGAACCATCTACTCGTGTTAAGTTAACTGCGTCCTCAAAAAAAAAAGGGGAGTTCTTGACCATTTGACGGGCCATCAAGCACATTAACAAAGTCAACTCCAAAAGG